GGGAGTTAGGAGCGACCAGGCCGGCAGAGGGAGGCAATTGGGGGTGATCAGGCCGGCAGGGGGAGGGCAGTTAGGGGCGATCAGGCAATCAGGCAGGTGAGCAGTTAGGAGCCAGCGTCCTGGATTGTGAGAGGGATGTCCGACTGCCAGCTTAGGCCCTATAAACTGGCAATTGGACATTCCCCAAGGGGTCTCGGATTGGAGAGGGTGCAGGCTGGGCTGAGGGGTCCCCCCGCCATGCACAAATGCACGGGCCTCTAGTCTATAATAATAAATAAAAGCACATAATATGCAAATAGACTGGATAGCCAAACAGCAGGATGACCTTCCAGACAAAGCCGGGGCTGCGAGGGCCAAAGCAGCAAGGGGCTGAAAAGGCCTACTCTTGCACGGATTTCGTGCATTGGGCCTCTAACCCTATATAATAAAAGTATAATATGCAAATCGACTGAACAGCGAAACAACCGGTTGCTATGATGCACACTGACCACCAGGGGAGCGCTGCTAAGCCAGAAGCCCAGCTAACAGCTGGCAAGCGCAGCGGCAGTAAGGAGCGAGGGGCCAGGGCTGTGAGAGCCCCAGATTGTGAGAGGGGTTCTGCCTGCTGGCTTAGGCCCGATCCCAGGGGTATTGGGCCTAAGCCAGCAGACAGACATCCCCTGAGGAGTCCTGGACTGTGAGAGGGCACAGGCCGGGCTGAGGGATACCCCCCCACCAGTGCACAAATCTCATGCACCGGGCCTCTAGTGAACATAAAAATACTAGAGGCCCGATGCACAAAATTTGTGCAAGGGGCTTGGCCCTTGCATCCGTGGCAGCTGCCTCAGCTTCATCTGGAAGGTCATCCAGAAGGTCGTTTGGCCATCTGGTCTAATTAGCATATTATACTTTTATTCTAATTTCCAAACAGACAAATATAAAAATTCATCAAATGCTAGGCAATTAAAAAAAGTCTCAACAACTTTAATGTACTTGATATCCTACAACCACATTCTCTGACAACCATAACAAAAAGATAGCTTTTTAAAAAACCACATGTTTAGAAATTTCTAAAAACTCATGTGTCAGAAAATAAATAACAGAATTTTAAAAATATTAAAAGTAAAGTAATAAAGACTATACTGCCAACCTGTGGGGTGCAGCAAAAGGAATAAATAGGGTGGGGCAAAAGTAGGTCCTTAGTTGTACACAGTTACATCAGAAAAATAAGAAAACTAAAAATAAATTAATGAACTGAGCATGTGTCTTAAGCAGTTAGAAATGCCGAAGAATATAAAAAAGGTAGATAAAAGGAAATAATACAAATAAAAGCAGAACTTAATGAAACAGAAAATAAACATAGAGGACAAAAGCTAAAAAAAAAAACCTAACAAGAAAAACCTAAACCAAAAAAACCAACCACAAAAAGGTAGCTCTTTGTCAAAACTATCAAAATGGATATACTTCTGGTAAGATTCAGTAATGAAAAAAGGAAGATGCACAACCAAATACTAGGAAAGAAAGGGAGTTATACTTATAGATACTGCAGACATTCAGAAAATAATTTTTATAAACAACTTCATCAATAGCTCTGAAAACAAGTACAATATACACATATGAAAACAAATGCAAATGTCCCTTAATTTTGGGAAACGATGTTCAAACTCATTGTAATAGAGAAATGCAAATAAAAACTGCTCCATAATATGATTTTTTACCTATCCGGTTAGCAAAAATCCAAAAGACTGACAACACAGTTTACTGGCAAGGCTATCAGGAAATAATCACTCTCATATATCTAATCTAATAAATGACAAACATGCAAATTCATATATCTAATCTAATAAATAAGCCACACCCACCAGCCAATCAGAGCAACTATATGCAAATTAACCTAACCAAGATGGCGGCCGGCAGCCACGGAGCTGAAGCGAGCAGGAGGCTTGGTTGCTCCAGTGATGGAGGAAGCCAAGCTTCCCGGCCGGCTCTGAGCTGGAGGAAGCCAACAAAGTTTCAATTATAGAAGGTAAATAAACCCCAGAATAAAAAAGAAAAAGAAAAAAAGGAGAGGCTGGGAGCTTCCGTCCCTGGGGCGCTTGGGCAGCCTGAAAACGGCCCTCAGCCCCTCACCCAGACTGGCCAGGCACCCCAGTGGGGACCCCCCACCCTAAAGGGGGTGTGACCAGCCTGAAAACGGCCATCAGCCCCTCATCCATGCTGGCCAAACCTCCATGGGGTGAGGGTCCCCACTGTGGGGGGCTTGACCAGCCTGCAAACAGCCATCAGCCCCTCACCCAGGCTGGCCAGGCACCCCAGTGGAGACCCCCCAGCCTGAAGGGGGTGTGACCAGCCTGCAAACACCCATCAGCCTCTCACCCAGGCTGGCCAGGCACCCCAGCAGGACCCCCACCCTGATCCGGGACACCCTTCAGGGCAAACCAGCCGGCTCCTACCCATGCACCAGGCCTCTATCCTATATAATAAAAGGGTAATATGCCAACTGACCCTAACAGCAGAAAGCCTGGGAATGACTGGTCACTATGACACACACTGACCACCAGGGGGCAGACGCTCAATGTAGGAGCTGCCCCCTGGTGGTCAGTGCACTCCCACAGGGGGAGCTCTGCTCAGCCACAAGCCAGGCTGATGGCTGCCAGTACAGCGGTGGTGGTGGGAGCCTCTCCCGTCTCCTCAGCAGCGGTAAGGATGTCCGACTACAGCTTAGGCCTGCTCCCCGCTGGCAAGTGGACATCCCCCGAGGGCTCCCGGGCTGCCAGAGTGATGTCTGACTGCCAGCTTAGGCCCAATTCCCCAGGGAGTGGGCCTAAACCAGCAGGTGGTCATCCCCCAAGGGGTCCCAGTCTGCGAGAGGGCACAGGCCACGCTGAGGGATGCCCCCAAGTGCACAAATTTTTGTGCACCGGGCCTCTAGTTGAGAATATAAAAGGATTAAGAGCCTATGGATAGGGAATTTGGCAATATTTTACAAAATTATATAAACCTTAAGCTTCAACTCAACATATACTGTCAAGGTTCTGATAGTATTCCTGGAGGCAAAGACCAGCAGTCATATAAATGAGAGAAGTCCCTGGAAGGCTAATGGACTCTGATATTCAGCAAGGGCTGAAAATTAGCATTGTATTACTCTGCTGCTGGCTGAATGGTTGAAGACAATCCGATAACCTGATAATCTTTTATTGTTTACCAAACCTTACCATTCAAATGTGTGTTTGCTTTGCTAAAGGGCAAATGTGTATTCTAGTAAATAAAAAGCTATGGGTCCGGAGATTCAGGGAACCTCTCCGCTAGAGAGTAAGGTCTCCGCCTGACTCCCCCATGCCTTCTAAATTTATATTTCTTGTCTAGTATATCCGTTCGTGTGTGGCCCCTTCTCCAGACCTTGAACCCTAGCCGCAGATGGATGCGGCATTTACAAGTATACATAATGTGTGTACATATTTTTTTGTGGGGGAGCATGAAAATTAGAATTCCCAATTTATCTTTATTCACAAAGAAACACTAAAAAGATAAAACCAAAAAATGGTTATCCTGTGGGAAGAAAAGAGAGAGAACCTCAGTATGGAAGCAGACCTCTCTGGGTATACTTTTAGAAGCATCTACATCAGTGGTTTTCAACCTTCCTAATGCCACAACCCTTTAATAGAGTTCCTCATGTTGTGGTGACCCCCAATTTCATTGTTATAAATTTAACATAATTAAAGCATAGGATTAATCACAAAAACAATATGTAATTATATATGTGTTTTCTGATGGTCTTAGGAGACCCCTGTGAAAGGGTCGTTCGACCCCCAAAGGGGTCGCA